ACTTAACACCCCCTTAGAAAATCTGACGCGCTCGATTAATTTTTTTTTTCACTTTACGTACAACCACCCGCATCATGCAAACGATCAGATTGGCATACGAACATTATTAAAAATACATAGGACATTGATACTATCAATATCTGACGTGCTCGAGTATGTCCATGCAACAGTATTTTTTCACATATTTAAAAATCTATAGCCGCTTGCCCCACCGATGAAAAGGTATATATTATATAACATTTTTTTCTTCTTATAATCTAAGCTTTGCAACCTAATATGTCTCTATGACGCTCGAGTAAATCCCCATTTTGCATCGTGGGCTCCCCTCCTATTAATTTTATGTTATTTATTGCTATACTTGAAGTTTTATTTGATTCTCCAAAAGTTATCTTCAATTTTCCTGCTAGGAAACAAATAACTCCTAACTTGTCTGAAATAACTTTGTCTGCTTTAAATTCATGGTCATGTCGATTCTATGTTTACTTTGTCTAGAATTATTAGCATACTTAACGTAATGAAACCAAAATTAACAATACAAAAAATGTAATTTTAACAAAGTGATTTTGTTTCAGGTGAACCACTTCAACATGATCCCGATTTTCGAGGACCCCTGAAGAGGAGATCATGCACGGATGTCATTTGTTTATTGTTTTTTCTTCTTTTTATAGCAACATGGATTGGTATTGGACTGTATGGTGAGCAAATTTGGTTACAATCATAAAACTCACTTTAGGCAGGTATTGTTAAATTAAAAGTAGTTTGGAAATTGCGACAATACGTATTTGAGAATCTGATCCAAATAATACTGCAAACATTTATTAGTTTTCATTGAAAAGAGTTAGGTTGCTTTGTAACTCATCACAGAGATTCAACAAAAACGTGATAATCTGTTGAAAATCTGTTATTTTCTCAATACGATCCATCCCGAACTCTTTCAAAAACACCAGGATCACTTACGAGACATACCATTCAAATTGAATGTCTGCAGCCGTTTGTAGTGATCGGAATGTTGTTAATAGGTACCAACGGAATTGTTGGATTTTTTATTACTTAGTCCTGATGTTATACTTGGACCCAATCCTTCTTATCCTTTCCAATAATCCTCTGATGTATGGAAGTACAAGTACTGGTTGTGGCGGCTTCTCCTTCCTGTGGAGCTCTTGCTGTCTTCTAGCTAAAGCCTGTTCTACCATCACTCTGGAGTAACCATTTCGTTGAAGGTCATTTTTGATGATGCCTAATTCCTTTTCGAGACCTTCCTTTGTATTACAGAGCCCAAAAGCAACAAAGCAAGAAAAGCACGGTCTAATAGAGTCTTGATAATTCCTCTCTTAATCAATTGATGGTGGTTGGCTTTCTGGTTCAGATACTGTCCTGTGTGAGTGGGTTTTCGATATACAGATGTTTCCCATTTAGTGTCGGTCCTCTTTACCCAATACGTCTAAGAAAACTTTTGGGTCGACTGGAGTGTTTGAAAACAACACCAGGGCGAAATAAAAAAATCATTTAAATTCACTACTTTGCTCTGTCCATTCAGATCTATCGTGAGAAAAGATAATGCTGAAATTGGGTATTAGTGATTTGAAAAATAAAGCTCACATTAACATACACTTGGAAATACCTTGGTACTTCCCTCGACAGGAAGCTAACATGGATCTCTCACCTACAGAGTAGAGCAAAAAGAGCATATGAGGCTTATGAGCAATGTCGAAGACAGTGATACGCACATAGGGTCTTTCATCCCGTGTGGTCACCTGGATCTTCACTGTAATAAAAATATTTATGTTAACGTACGGAGCCATTGCATGGGGACCGAAAGTTCTACAAGCAACGGCCATCCTAAAATCGTATCAAATACAGCGATTGGCTTGTTTAAACATCACAAGCGTCATGAGAACAACACCAACCGCGGCAATGGAATTAATTACTGGTTTCACCCCTCTGGATCTGTACGTTAAGGAGGTTGCGTTAATGGCCATGTTACGATTACAAAATACAAATAATACAGAACACAGAGGAAGTTGCTACAAATGTAATACGCATATATACAGACGGCTCAAAAACCAAAGAAGGCTCAGTATGTGGAGTTTACTCCAGATCACTAAGCCTAAGGATTAAGTGGGGAATTGAAAAAAACCAGCGTGGTTCAAACAGAACTGGCTGGTATCTCAATCGCCACAAAAGAAATAACCAGGAAAGGAATTTCCGGCAAAAACATGGCAATCTGCACTGATAGTAGACAAGCTCTATTAGCCTTGAACAGACAACGTGTTACCTCAGGGCTATTACTAGAGTGCCACCAAGATTTAGCCAAAGCCTTAGTAGATAATAACATTATCCTGATGACTTCGACAATTGCGGAACTAGCCCATACGTCACACACATGCTCAATCCCTAAAGAGATGAGATGGAATCAAAGGATGCAGTCTGGGAAGCTGGCGCCGAAGAAATATCTGGCGATGATCAGAAAAAACCTACGCTTAACAGTAGGATTTCTGACTGGCCACTGTCAACTAAGGAAACACCTCCATAAAATGGGGCTAATGGACACACCTCTATGCAGGATGTCTGAACAGGAGGATGAAACTGTCAGGCATGTCTTATGCGAGTGTCCTGAGTTATCGTCAATAGAAGAGTGTGTGTTCGGCGAGTCTTGGCCTACACCTGCCGATATAAAAAAGATGTCTCCTAGTGACCTGTCCACCTTCCTGGAACGGAAAGAATTGATGATGACCTAGGGGGACAACTCCTCGGGAGGATGTACAATGGGGTACATGTGGCCTAAGTGCTGTGGGCCTACACCCACCCTCCCTACTTTTACAGAATATACACTTCAATAATTCACCACAATACTGTTTTTACTGCAAAGCATCTAAACTTAACAATCATCTCCGCAGTGAACTTAGGACTAACATTCTCTTAGATTAAAAAAAAACATTGTTTCATTAGGAAATGGCATTATTTTTCTTTCTACGCTTTCTACTTTCTATGCTAGTTTGGTTATCTCTGAAATCAGGGTTGGAAGAAATGATAAAAAAATCAAATATATTACTTTTTTAATAAATTCTGATGTAACTTTGGTAACTTTCAATTATCTATTTTGTTTGGCGATATAAATTAAGTTGAATTTATTGATTCTGAAGTCTGATTGGAAACTATAAAATAGATAGTTGTGAAATGTATTAAATTAAATTTTTTAAAATAGTTTTTATTTTGTTCTCCTGACAAGAAAAATCCTCTTTCAGATTGACTTGGTTTGGATTGGTCGGAAAAACCGCGTGACTTGTATCAACGCGAAACAGTCTGAGCTTATAAAATAAAAGTAGGGTGGATTAGTTTCAAAATTCATCGAGTATTTTTCCGTAAATGATGACTACAGTGGTATATATATTCTAATAGTGATCTGTTGAGAAGTGTTTGGGTTTATATTAAATGTTTCAAATGGTGATTAAAGTCATGATTCAAATCAGGCCAATCTGGTCTGAAACTGAACATAATTCTCAATTTCAGTAAGTGGCTTTTAGGTGCAATACTGTTTGATATTTGCATTTTTCAATGTAATTAGTTAGTCGAGGAAGTAGTTTTCTGTTGTTGTATTTTTATTGGTGACGAACAATAAAAAAATTGATAACCCATAACCCTTCAAACCTACTGTAACTTGACCTCTAAACCTACGGCTTTGATCGTACCCCGCCGAAGGATTTGAAGTTTGAAAATATGCTCAAAACATATCATTACGTACTTTCATCGTGACACGAGTAGATTAAACTCATTTGTGACATAAAGTCTTAATCTTCTGAATGATATATAAGTTGTTGTTTCGAAAGTACTTTTTTATTTCGTGTAATTCAATGTTGTTTTCCAGTTTGTACATGAAAGTAACTTCTTTGCATGATATACAAATCTTTGTGAAGGGGTTAGTGTGAAATTAATTGCTTTCTTTGGACGTTTCCCACATTCTTTAATGAAATCTCTCCTACTAATATACCCCTTCAAATTCAGATGCTCAAAAGATTCCCCCCGAATATATTATTTTAATTATCAACAATGGGAAATAGGCCACGTTTCGTTTTCATTTGCCCCACCCTGTATATGAGAACTTTAACAATGAAAAAGTCGTAAGTTTCCTCACTCAATTCTACGAAATTTGATGTTTAACTGGGTGATTTTCAATACGCCTGATTCCGTGGGGAGTGAATTCTCACCCGTAACTTTTTTTTTATTATCACATCACACAAATCAGTAGGAAGTAACTATGACCGCATAACCATCGATCATTCATATTTTGGTTAGGTTTAGGTTATTTTATGCAATAAAAAAATTAAATCATGAACAAAAACGTTTGATCTTAAAATACCGAAAATATAATAATAATACCATTCAATTTATTCAATTCAAAATTCGTTGTTGATTGTTGTTCGTTATTGATTGATTTTATTTCACGCATCATAGTTGTATAATCGATCCCTTAAAATTCGTATTGAATTCTCCCATATGATAATCTTTAGGAGTCCTGTGGATTTAGAGAGACGTCAAACCCTTCAATTTGAAACACATATTATTGGACTGTGAAGAAATAACTAGTCTGCCAAATTGGTTGTAGATTGTAGAATGACGTTACTTAGCTAACCAAAATCGGTTGAGAATAAGTGCTTCAAAATTCAGTTGCAGAGTTTGACCCGAACTGACATTACACCCAAAACAGTAAACTGAATAAGAGCTTGTAATGTAGGCAATAAAAATACTTGTTTCCAATCAAACAGTTTTAAAATCAGTAATAACTTTTTTCTCGAATAAACATTTTTCCTACTTGTCATTACATCATTAGGTAAGTAGTCATCATAAATCGGANACTTTCAAACTATTGCAGTTATGATAAATATGCTTCAAGTCTTTTTTGTTCATTATGAATTCATTAACAATTTAAGCCTTTTACTAAAGGTTTTTGGTAAAACTGTAGTGAAAATCACACAATAAAGTGCTTTTAGAATATGTTATTTATGGATTTTCATCAAGTATCGGCCGATTCCATCAATATATAAAGGCAACGTTCTTTGGTTAACATTATGTCATAGTGATTTCTGGTCCATTCAATCAATAATAATTACTATTTCCTACAAAGGAATCATTTTAAATTCACCATCAATTGTTACAAAAGAAAATACACCGGTCTTTCAATACTTACCTAGAATAAGTATTGCAATGTTTGGGGTACAAACTGAATAGGAAAAAGTGCTGTAGAATAATTCAATGTTCATATAAAAATTAATGTGTGTAAAGTATTTTTTCTCTCCTGTGATTCAATGTTCATATGAAAGTACCTAGTTATTGTTTCGAAATAATTTTTTCTTCTAGTTCGAGAATCACTTTTTCTTATTCAGTTTATACTCCAAACATATATGAAAGAGTTATGATACATCATATTGTGTAACATTCCTATGAATGATATCTGATTAAATACCATTACGAATGTTTAGAGTACAAACTGAATGGGAAAAAGTCATTTAAGATAATTCAATGTTCACATGAAAGGAGCGGTTCCGAAAGTAGTTTTCTTTTCGTGTAATTTATTGTTCATGTGATAGTAGTTGTTTTGGGAGGGCTTCTTCTTCTAGTGTGTATCTGAATGTAATATATATGCATGATCTAAATATCTATGTAAAAAGTTTATATTTCGAATTTAATTATTTACTTCCTTCCCACATTTTTTGTATAAAGATGGAGAAGTAGATTCATAAATAGTGATGAAGCTGAGAAAACGATGGTTCTTATTTTGTTATCTCATTGAAAATTAGATATTGTAAGGAAAACCGTAACATTATTTTATCGTTTCCAGGTTTGCGTGAAGAAGTGTCCTGATGTTTTTTATGTTTACCCAGTTGATCATAGCAGTCTAAATGAAAGTGTAACGCAGTTTTGTGCCAAATATGAGGGTGTCGATACTTGTCCACCCTGGTTACTGCCAAGCAAATCATGTGAGTAGCATCAATCCTTCTTATTATATATTATGTTGGTCGTATTAGCTTCTGGGAAACTCTTGATTGACGATATCGATAAAATAATTTTTTCATGGAGAATCAATTATTATTATGAGTTAAAAACATACAGTTAATGACTTGAACATAAATTTAATCAAAATATAGTCCGTTATATTTCTATAAGTGCCAAATGCACATGTAACATATATTGTATACAGGGTGCTCCTTAAACACATGCTAATATTTAAGAAGGTAATTCTTAGACCCATTTTAAGGTAAAAACGTCCTATGGACGTATGTCCTAAACGCCTTAACTTTTGAGATACAAAGTCGCAAAGTTTTCAAAAATAATCAGTTTTTTAATAATAACTGAGATAATTTTGTAGACATCTTTGGCATATTTGGTACATATGTTCCATGCCTCAAGGCGCATTTTCTGATGTACA